TAGGCCTAAGGTTTTCGTCCACTTTGTTTCATATGGTACCTTTTTCTGCCATAGGCCTAAGGTTTTCGTCCACTTTGTTTCATATGGTACCTTTTTCTGCCATAGGCCTAAGGTTTTCGTCCACTTTGTTTCATATGGTACCTTTTTCTTTTGTTTGGCCAGATCAACTTGTACCTTCAGATGGAGCAGAAGCCACACAAGAAGGAAGAGCTGATCCTGGCCAACAATGTGCTCAGGCTAGCCGAGGATCTGCTCAAGGTTGGTTGCTTTGTGTGTTTGTAGTGGTTTGCGTACCGAAATCGAAATATCGATATATTTTTACGCATATCGATTATATCGCATCGAAGCAGTGAGAAAAATATCTGTATTTTTACGTATATCAATGTCGCATTGAAGCATTGAGAAAGATATCGATATTTTTACGCATATCGATATCGCATTGAAGCAGTGAGAAAAATATTGATATTTTTACGCATATCGATATCGCATTGAAGCGGTGAGAAAAATATCAATATTTCGATTATGTTGATATGCCCACCACTCAGCTCCACAAAAGAGGCAGATAGATAGAGAGAAAGAGAGAGAGAGAAATGTATATCTACTAGGAAACCTCATTGATTTTATGTTTCCCCCCACAACAAAACACACCCAAAAAAAGACAGTCGTGTTTCGCACGTCGATATTTCGACCAGACTCTATAATTATCTATATATTTTATCACGAATTTCAATTTATCGATAATTATTATCGAAAAATATTGGTATATTGGTATATCGATATTTCTGGTGAAAAAATATCGATATCGTATGGAATTCAATACTGCTGATATCGCCCACCACTATGTGTTTGTTTGTGTCTGTTCCATTAGGTCTTTATCCATGACCTTATGCAGTTGCGAGCGCCTTAAAACCCCATACACCCCCACGGCAGTGCCACTGACTGAAGTGTCTTTAGGCCATTCCCAAAGGGGGGACAATGCTCATTCAAGCATAGTAGAATTGTAAATGGGCTGACTCATGTCACGCTCATAACTGTGCCTGATCTACAACAGGGAACTGCTGCTTTTTATTTCCTGATCCTTACTATTGTCATTTTCCTCTACTTCTTTTGTATGTTTGTCACTCTCTTGTGACCTGCTATTTTGGGGTGTCTTGATAGTCGAAGCAGACCCTGTGCTGTTGAAGCTAGAGAGGTGAGCAGTCTAAGTCTTATTCCCTGTAAAGACTTCTCTGTTGACACCAACCCCTTGGCGCTCATATGACCTTATGCAGTTGCGAGCGCCGTAAAAAAAACCCAAAAAAAACCCATGCTAAAAAAAGCTGAAGCTGAAAAGTGAGGAAAATTCTGCTGGGGGTCTGGAGGCTTTTAGAGGGTTAAAAATGACATTTGGGAGCCTGTTTGAAGAGATTGCCAGCAACCAGTCACACCTATTTTTTCCACCAAGATTTTGTTGCCTTGTTTGATTTCTCCCCCTACAAATCTTTCCAATGCTGGCAATGTTTAAAAGCAGGTTCCCCTTGTCATTCCTAAGGCACTATAATTTATAATTCAAATAATTTGTCATCACACCATTGACAGAAAGCAAACCTGAGAATAATGAAGAGATATGTACCTTGACGATAGAGTATAGAGTTACCCAGCGTATACCCTAATTTTCCTCCATTTTCACGTTTAAATGCCGAATGTGTTGAAAGTGCCGTAAAACTAATAAAACTAACTAATCTTGGGCACTTATATGACCTTATTGCGTGCTTCTTCTTTCCTATCAAACATCTATCGTCTTTATCTCCCCTCTTTCTTTTTTGTGTTTGTTACTCTCTTGTGACATCTCTAATCTTCGGCACTTATATGACCTTATTGTGTTGCAAGTGCTGTAAAACTCTTATTAAAACTAAACATGACCTTATTGTGTTGCAAGTGCTGTAAAATTCCTATGACTAAAACTTTCTAAACTTTTTTTTTCTCTTTTGTAATTTCAGGAGCTGGAGAGTCCATTCAAGATCTCTGGCTTCTCCGCCAACCCTCTGATCTACAACATCATGCGAGTGGTCGTGTTGTCAGCGTTCTCCGCCGTGCTCACCGAGGTGCTGGGGTTCAAACTCAAGTTACACAAGATCAAGCTTAAAGGGTGAATGCTCCCTGCCCTGCCACTGAGGGGGGGGTGGGGGGGGGAGGGAGGGAGGGGGGGGAGGATTGTTGCGTTGTGATATGTGAGGCAGGCATTGTGGTGAAATCAGGCGCTCGTCAAAATACTGAAGTCGAAGAAACAGGCATTTTTCTGCCTGTTTTGACAATTTTTACCTAAATTTTGTTTTTTGGTTCAGCACCTTTTTATGTCCATTTAAAAACACTTTTCTATATGTCAGTGTACTGGAAAATGTTGATTAAATTCACAAAATAGTTTTTCAGTTTTCAAGAACTCTCGGGCTGTTGAAGTTACCAAACTTTAGCAGTCTTTTTCTCGCTAATTATGCCACTGAAACCAGGCAACCCTCACCTCCTTCAGTTGCAATTAACTCGACTTCTATTCAAGATGGATGGGTATTTTTTTCATTGAAAGCAAGGAAAATTAATGAGCTTTCAGATGATACCAATAACTCCACATGCCCAAAAATTGACGAGCGCCTTATTCCACTGTGTCGTGACACATATGTGTCTGTGTGTGTGTGTCTGGAGGTATTTTGTTCCGTGTTGTTTGTGTGTGTCCTGGTGGAGGATATAATGTGTTCAGTGAAGACTGTGTGAGTGTGTGTGTGTATATGTGTGTGTGTGCGGGCATGAGAGTAGGTCAGCTGACTGAATGTACAGTGGATTAAGTGTGTGCGTAAAGGTTGTGAAGTCATGCATTGAGAATGTGCTTCTGTCATGGTCTGACATGCAGGCCTGCCTATGTGTGTGTGTTTGTGTGTTTGTACATCAGTTGACAATATAATACAGTTGATTGTACGTGTGCAATTTTTTAAAGTAGCCTATATGTCTGTGGAAAGATTGTTTGGTGGATAGAGTGACCACCACTGGTAAAAACAATAAACGGCAGCCCAAATTCAAACATCCTAATCAATCTTGCCAGAGTAGAGAGTGGTGCCATTGCTCCTGGAAATTAGCAGAATTCAGGAGCTATGTGAATATAATATTGTTAATGCATGCTACATAGAGTTAGGGTTCTTGCTTGAAATGGATGGGGTTGATGTCATCGCTATGAATGGACACACTGCTTTAGAGGAGGTTGAATGTCTGGAGCGTATGGCGCTTCGTGTCAAATATTTTGTTTTGTGAATGATTGATGGTGTCTCCTTTATTGCCATTTGAATAGAAATCTATTGCATGCAAATCATGGTCAAATTTTAAAATTGAAAAGAAATATTCAATTTTGGTGAAAACGCTCATACAGTAGTCTCCGCCTAAAGGCACGGTGCTCAGGAGGGCTCTTCAGCGTGTTTTTATACGGAGCGTGCGTTTACATGAACCTTTGCAAAGGGAGGAAGGGACGCAGTCATCTCATGGCCTTGATATTTTAGTGACCTCCCATGGGGGTGGGAGTCACTTTGGCCGATAATGTGACGACCCGTGACTGCGTTGTAAAGTATTCCCAGACTGCGGTTAAGAATACAAAGGCGTTGAATGGATGAGGGGGTTTCAGAAAGACGGACTCCATGTAATGATATGCACCGTAAAACGTTTTGAACAGATAACCAAGGAGGATACTGTTGGTGATAGTCATAGAGATGACTGCGGAGCCACATGGCTTTCCAAGCGACCACTCCCGACCGTAACTTCATGGTCGACATCAGAATCATAGATCTCTACATTCAGAGAAACATTTTTCTTGTGATTCGTTGAAGAAGTAGGCTACGTTATAAGTTCTTCGAGCGCAGCTGATTAGGCTTACCTGACTAATCTTTAATCCTGTAGAGGCCTATCTAGTGTTTTACAGCATTTACACATGTTGCGCATCATAGGCCTAGGTCTAACTAAACATTACATGCAGTCACCCAAACTCCAGTCAGAAACCCTCTCTCAAAGATGCATTTCCAGTGCCCAATCAAAACGCATTTCAGTCCCCCCAACCCCCCCAACATTTCACCAACCAGTCCTAGACCTATGTGTCTGTGGAAAGAAAGTTGGGTGGGAAAACGCTGTTCATAACTCTCTTTGTTCAGCGTGAGAGACAGTCTCACCAAACATCCGGTTGTCTAGGCTCGTCTTATGCAAGCTGTGTAGCCTCCAGCGAAAATTTCCCCTTATCTAGCTTTACCTGTCGGAGTGTTTCACGGATCGGAGCGTGCATCTAGAAGGGGTGACCGTGCACTTTTACATCTGAATTATATAGTTAAAAACCTGCCATATGACGGAAATGTGCATTTGGGCAGAGCATGCTTTTGTATGGCGTGCGTTTTGGCAGAGACTACTGTATCTTTTTATCTTTGTTTGGTACCAATTTCTGTATACTTTAACATACATAACTGAAATTAGGCCGGTGGAACTGACCTTACAGCTTTAAAAGTGTTTTTTTTCTTAAGTGGGACCAAATGTGATATGCCACATATGAGTTTTTAATTCGAATGGCATACATAAAATATGTAGTGCATAGATGTGTTTGGGTATGTATTTGCTTGTGTATGTCTGTCGCCCTTTCTCATCAGGCTGGCCGGGGGGAGCTTAACTGATTAAGCCGTTTCTGTCACATGCTTGGCCCTGTCAACTCCTACTCCTTGTGGACATGCTGGTAGATGTTTGTGTGTGTGTGTGTGTGTGTGTCGCTCACCCTTGCAGTTTTAAACTGACATGAGTGGATTTGAATCTGTCTGCTGTCGGTGGAGAGTTGCCCGTTCATTCCTTGCCACGTTGCCTAGTGCCGTATTTGTTCCTCAGGTAGTATCCTTGCTTGCTCAACAGCTTACTTACCAACAGCTTGTACACCCCCCCCCCCCCCACATCGATAAACTGGGCAGAAGGTGAAATCTGTCACTTGTACCAGGTTATGAGGCTACTGTTACATACAGGTTAATGCTCTATTGTGTGATGTGGCGAGTAGCTGTTTTCGGGCAATGTGACTATTACAAAAAGGTTAAAAGTTCAATTTTGCGATGCGACAAGTAATTGTTTTCTGCTTTAAAAGGGTTGGTTTCGTCCCGTCAATGGGGTCATGCTCATCTCTCCCCCCCCCCCCCCTCCCCACCCCCTCCCCACCAGCACCACCACCACAACCCGCGTACACATCCTCGCTCTATCACCTGTGAAGAATTCATGATGAGAGAACACTATTGTGTGACATCATCACTTGCTCCCGGTTTCTGTGCGAAAGATAGGACGAGGCCATTTGCAACAGGGCCATATATTGATATTTCTTATCACTCCCTGGTGGCACCGGATACGAAGTGTCTCTTAATGTGGGAGAACTGTTTTCCTGCTACTGTTCCATAGAAATATAGTCAGGGAAGGTTCAAGATCTATTCTATATCAGCTGTGTGAAGGTGACTCAGCTGTTTTCAGAGAGCATCTAGATTCATATTGCGTTGCCGATGTATGAGATCTGCAACAAACAAGAGCATTTAACTCTGTATTTTGTAAGTGGTAGTCCAGCTACTACTTTTTTTAAAGTGTATATTATGTAAATAGAGCACTGTGTGGACCCAAGGGTCGTGCAGGGAATGTGCCAAAGAATATTGCAGATTGTCGTAAATTTGTTGTTTTTTGTGTCGCCTATTTATGGTAAAAATGTATGTTTGCTGTTATGGTGTGTAGCTAGAAGAATTGAATATCTGGATGTTTAGGGGGAGGGGAGAGGAGGGTATGGAATGTGTGAAGCAATAACGGTTCTCAGAATGTTCTGAATATTTTAATGGTAAATTGAAGCGGTGAAGGACTGAAATTTGTGCTTCATTGTACCAGTACTTGTATTTTTTGTGCGTATGCTCCTTTTTTTATTTATACATAATAAGGATGTGACATCTCAAAGCGTTGATCAGTTGTTCTAAGATGGAAGATGCAAACCTTGTAGAGTTGAGTTTACTCTATGGTGCTACATTTGGAGACTTGACTCAACAGTATTTGCATTATTTTCCACCTCAGAAAAGGGGTAACCTTTCTCAAATTTGGTTCTGGGACTGATTTGTGGGTGTTCTCAGCTTAATACCCTATCCCACCCCCCACCCCTCTATTCTTTTCCCTCCTCCTGAACCCATTGAGCATTCATTTGCATGTCCTACTCAGTTCTCCTTTGGATTTTTTTTAAACTTCTTTTTATAATGGTGAAAATACCCCATGAGGATCTGTGGTTTCATTTTGTTCTAGGGGAACATTGCTCTTTTTTGTTCTCTCTCTCTCTCTCTCTCTCTCTCTCTCTCTCTCTCTCTCTCTCTCTCTTTCTCTCTCTCTCTCTTTTTTTTTGGTGAGTTGTGCATTGGATATCTGTTGCTACTCTTTTTCAATGCACTGTAGTATGTTCCCTACAGCTTGTTGCGCCGTTTGCAAGTCAATTCTTTTTTTGAATGAGTTCTTGGCTCTTTGATCTGTTTTAGGCTCCAGTTACGAGAGTCACCAATGCTGTAGTCATTTAATTTTCAGTTATGTGTGGTTTTCTGGGGGGTTTTCTTTTGCCTACGTTTACAATCTGACCTACTTTTTTTCCCTTTTATTGATGTCCTCTTTGGTATGTGTTTGCTATTTGATCTGCCTGTTTGTATACTTAGATTTACATGACAATGTTTGGAACTTTTCTTTGTTTCTAGTTTTATGTGTGCTATTTGCCATTTGTCTGTTGAGTGTGTCAGTATTTTGGGGTCTGATTGGCCTAGTAGGTACGACATATACCTTTTGTCTAATAAGGCAGGTATATAGAATGTATTTTTACACTACACCTATTGGACGATACGTCTTGTAGTTGGTCAATATTATACATATGTGTGGCATTGTGGTAGAGTCAGGCGCTCGTCAAAATAAATTAAATATAAAAAAACCCAACATCTTTCCACCCATAATTTGGCATTTTTTAAGCCATTTTTTTTAGGGGAGAGGGGTCAGCTCAGCATCTTTTATGGCCCCCCAAAAAATACATTGCTGTGTTGAATTTTTGTAAGTTTACCTCTAAGTCTGACACCAGCCAACCCCCACTACAAATTGGTCGCTTTTAAGGACAAGCGGGCTGACCCATATTTTAGGGGTTTCCAG